ATTTATGCGTGAAATTCGTCAGCAAGAAGAAGTGGAGAAATCTAACGGTGGTCCTACACGGATGGCCGATCCCAAGTGTGCTGTGATGCTTCTGCAAAAGGTATCATTATTGTTCTCGTAACTTTATTGCACTATTTTACTCTCGTTCGTTTTGTTTTTTCATCACTTTAACTAAATTAGGGTTTCAAATTTTATTTCTTTCTATATAATTTAATTGCATTATCGTATAACGTGCATTTTCCTTGCGTAATACATCAGCTTTTACTACCAATAACCATGCAGTTTCGTGCGCCGGTTTTGGTTGCTGCCTCATGGCATTCCGTTTGAATGAAGGAGTGAAGAGAAGATTAAAATATTCAAATCAGCCTCATAGTGCGAAAGAAAATTTATAAAGACTAAGTTGGCAAAGAAATTGAAAAGATGCACGACCGACACTGTTTACGACACTCAGTTATATCACTGAGTGTCTCTAACCATTGAGTACTCTTATACCAATATCCCCATCCAGGAAGCCTAACGCAGCCTATGTGAACAAGTCTCCTGCTCAGGGTTTTTATGCCTTCATGTCAGGTCTGAGTTTGACCACCTTTGACCTTTTGCTATCCATCATCTGCCTCGGAAAACACTGTGCGCCGAGGCAAACTATCTGGCAACATGCGCAGCTTATGCCCCAACCAACGCAGTCTCTGGAGATTGAGCACCTTCTCCAGTGGGCGATCATGATACCTAAAATTCTGCACGTAACCTCAGAATTACTCTTCCGGTTTCCCCAGTACAGTCGTGCAGTGCGACGTAGATAGTGGTGTTGGAACACGGACAGTCTATCTTCATCCTGTTTACGTGATGACTAAGTCTTTGCGCCATATAGCAGAACGGGCCAAACTACTGTAGCATACATTCGACCCTTCATAGACAGCCGAATGTCGCTAGGCCGCGACAAATGTCTCATGTTGGTTAATGTCTATTCAGCCTTGCGTGTGCATAGCGGCATATCATCGTTGATGCATCTGTTGCTTCTGTATCTACTCAAAATCCCTGTAACTTTAGTGTGTCAGTATTCTCTACTTTCACTTTCATAACCTCAATCTTACTTCTGTTCAGTCACCCGAAAGACTGCAACCTGATAGATGGCTCTATAATTTGGAGCGGAACAACGAGTGCCATTATATTCAAAATGCTTTCATTACTTAAGAAGTATGACTTCAGTCAATCGTACCAGTATCAGTTAAATCGCCTAGTTCAGAGAAAACAATTTTAACGAACTAGTTTGGCGCGTTTACATGAACCTGTAGTACGGAATTCGTCGAGGTCAAGCGTACAGTGCAACTTACCACAAAATCTGACAATTTCGCAATTGTATATGTGCTGGTGATAGTTGACATTAAAACGAAATAAGGCCTTTAATTCAAAAAGGGAGTGGGGCTCAAAAGGCCAAAAATACCACTACAATCGAATACCGTAAAATGTGAATCGAGCCAGAAAATATTGTGGTTCTGAGTGTCGAAAGCTGTTCCTTTGTGTTTTATCATTGACATTCGATGGTGCACGCCCTCTCCTACGTATATCTCTCCGTGCTGTTCTTGCACCTGTTGAGTATGGCCGGAAGAAGCACCGGGGCGGTTAGACCATGGCCTGTCCTATGGGTATGAAGAAGTCAGCTTCAGCAGTGGCTCTGGTTGGAGTAGCCCATCCTCCAGGTTGAGGCCCAAGGAATGAAGACTGCTGCTGCCTACGGACGCTATTTCATTACATCAGTGAACATGATATTCCCGGTAATAAATAAATTACCCGCGTGCATCACGCAGCAAAAATTCTGTCGCTTTATGGCTACCTGCTAAGGCAAAAATTAGACGAGAGTTTCTGTAATCTTCTCCATTAGATACGCTTTTCATTTTCTCCGCGAGTTCGGGCCCAGTATTTGTTGCGATCGTTTCTATTCTCTATGATTTGGAAGTTATTTAACTTCTTTCTGCGGTTTTCCTTTGTTTTGATAGGTAGCTGTAATGCTTTGCTTTGCCTTGTAAGCGCGGTGTGTCTCAAGTTCAACAGAAGTGGCCTTCTGGATGCCGGTCTTTGACATGCACCACAGATGTTCAAGTGCTTCCCCGCTGTTTTGGTTAGTAGCGTCTATAGTTAGCTTCCCGACCGTTGCAGTTGAGCGGAGACTGTAACGAAACCAAACTGAGTTTACTGAGACGAATTGTTAGGCTGCGAAAGCGCAATGACCTTTGAAATGCCCACGGACAGGTATGGTTTTTGCCGTATTAATTTCACGTTTCAGCATCTCTGTAGGATTGGTAGGTTTCACTTGACGATGCGCAACTAGATCAGACTATAATATGGAGTATAGTTAATTAACTGTGCACTTAGTGTTGGAATACCACTTTCATTAGTGCTTCCTGATAAATTGGAGGTGTGTGTTGGTTACCACTAACCAGTTGTAAGTCGCATTGTTCGTTTGCAACTCTTCGTTGGTGTACTTTTTCTGCTAGACCGAATTCCTTTATCATTTGATGAGTGGTCAATGTAAGGGCCAGTGGGAGCGTTCCACTTTTCTGCATCGAAACAAGAGATCACATTCAGAAGTAGGTCGCGGAGTGCTTCCTTGATGTCAATTTCTGTTGCAATTGTGGAGTTGACTTGGAAGGTATACTGAACGAACGGAAATGTTAGAGGGGTTGAATTGGAAACGAGTAGTGAAAATTCTCGGGAATAAGAGTTCCCAGCGGATTATAAAACTTTTGGATTTGGAGTTGGGTCTTTGAAGGTCACTTAGATCGCTGTGATACAAACAGTGGTTTGTGTCCATTCTGGAACTTCAATACGTTTCACTCTGTCTCTGTGTATGGCAACATACAAGCAAGGTCAGTGTGGCGATCATGACGAGTTTGCATACTAACATACTTTCTGGTGCCAGCATAATGCAAACACTCCAACAGACAATGCACCTGACTGCTTTGTGTGAATAATTCCTTGATCACAGGAGCAGCACCAGGAGCGCCGCTTCCGGGATATGTCAGAGCATGATTAAAACAAAGATGTTAAAATGAATTTTTCACGAAGACGCTCATCACAGGGTATTTCTGCCCCTAACATTTCTTGGTGCTGCCTAATAAGCAGCAGAGGTTTGTGTAGCTTGCAGGTGACAGCTAGAAGTAGGATGGAGTCTAGACTGACATTGTGCGATTGCAAATCTCGTTGATCTAGTCGATACATTATGAATTTGATCTCTTCCTATTTCTGTGGGTATTGAGTTTAGTTACTCAACTCATTGAAATCGTAAGATCTCACTTTTTGCCTGCCTGCCTGCCTGGCTGCCGATTGGTTTCTCGGGGCGCGGCCGCTGCTTATGTTTGCAGTTACCAGGAGCCAACAACTGCTAATTGAGTGCCAGATGAGGACCAAGGAGAGCATAAAATTTATTTTCTTTTGATACAGATGTTATCCCTTGCGGATACTCCATGAAATCCAGCTCCACTAGTAAAGTACAATTGATAATAAAACCCTGGTTTCGCTGTGTGGTGAAAGAAATTCCATTCAGGATAATTAATCTTTGGCGACCGGATAACATTAACCTAACTAGGATAATCCAACTTGACAGAATTACAAGTTAACAAGCAACTTCATGCTTTTTAGATGCAGATGCTGTTCCGAGTTCTACTTTGATCGAGCTAAGAAGCCGTACTTGTGGAACTGATCGCTCCGTGATAGAATCCAGTAAATTCAATAACTGCGTGATTTCCATTTGAGGTACAGCTTACCAGACCCATGGGTTCTACATATGGTGATAATGATCGCTGCGGTGAATGACAATAACGCACACGTTTGGTAATGGCTAGGTACACACGTGACTAATTCACACCTAACAAATAAATATGATTTGTACAATGAATTGTGCCATGTACAGAGCAAATGAAGTGGGGTCTGAACAGTTATTCTTATCTTGTCGGTCCTTATATAAGTGGGGCTAATTCGTCGACCAAACCGAGCATCGCGTCCTGGGGAACTCACAGAATCACGCTAACCACTATAGATCACCGGGTAGTTCATTTTCGTTTTGTCTGCACAATGAATCTTTTTATTCTGATGGCATTTTTCAGCCTAACGAGCCACATGCCTCTTTCCTATTCATGGTTAGATGTGGAGAGGAATGCAAGTGAGACGCAGTATAAGAAAGATGCGACACGATGAACTCGTCTGGCTCGGTATGGTAAGTTTCGGTGGGGGGATAAACTTTAATTTGCTTGTTTACACAAATATGAGTACCACTATCAATTATCCCCTTTAACTCAGTCTGATGATTGACTGTTTCTATGAAAACTAGGATTAATCTCTTACCGCCGCACCCACAGGTGTCTACATGAAAATTTCCACAACCACACCCATCGTGTCGGATCGATAACACACAGATCTTGAGTACCTTCACATCCCCCCCAGTAATTTTGATATCAGTAGGCTAGACTGTGAGATTAACTTAATCCCGTGAATCCATCAAAGTTTCAAATACGCATGGTATCTGAGCTTCCCCATACTGGATGATCGTGTTTTCATATTGAATTGCATTTTCCCCTTGAAACGGTAATGAATGTAATCAACTAAAACCCATCCTTCTCTGGCCGTAGTCATATTGCGCCAAGCATCGGAATGTGATAAGTGGCGAAACCTTGTGGTGAAATACCACTGGTACACCTAGGCTACATCAAAGCGGGATTGAATAAATCCAATCGCGTGTGTAATACATGCTTGTTTCGCTTTACGCCTGTATCTGACCAGTAGGATCAATTAACTTTGAAATTTGTTCCCGATTTAGGTACCAAGCAATTTGCACCATGTCGTACAAAAGTCCAATATGGTGAAACTTGCGCAACGAGTTGAAGCGGTGAGACGAGTGACTCAGAACATTTATGAACAGGAATATCAAGATGCAATTATTCGTTTGAAAGAGAAAGTCAGAGAGACCGAAGGCCCGGACATGCGTGAAGCTATGCAAGATCAAATACGACAATGGTTTGTTGAATGTCGGTAAGTATTGCATGTTCCGGTAAGATTCCCTTCGTTTTTACTTATATTAAGTTGTTGATGAGTGTATTCATCATGCAGAGCTTCTTTTGTGGTGCATTTCCATCACAGTATTTTCCTTCTTGATCGTGCCGAGGCACGTTACTACCAAACATCTGAAATCTTACGAAACGTATAAAAACATGTGACATCAAATTTACCATTCGAAAAAAGCTTCTCCTGAAGTTTTGAACTCAAACCAAATTTGATGCAATGAATCTCCGCCACTCGCTACTGCTGATCATTGANAGGCAGTAGGAGAGTAATTCGCTTGTGTCTGCCACTCATTGAAGTATACACTATTCATTTTTACAGGGACGCAACTGGACGATTTCCGGATTATCCAGAAGAAAATGAGGGTGGTTCGGCTGCTATTTTCAAAGAAAAAACACCTGAAGAACTCGAGCGTGAACTCAAAGAAAAGGTTAGCCAGTTGTGTAATCTTCCCTGGAGCAGAGTACTACGTTAATTATACCAAGTAATTAACTGAGTTTACCAGCCTTCCTCCTCATTGACCGCGATACTTGTTGTGTCTTGCCAAGACGTATGATCGATATGAGCGCCTCTTGACTAGCCCTCAACACTTGGAGAGAGAACACGACTCAGAAAACGACAGTCAGATTATATATATATATATATATATATATATATATTACTGGTGGTAAATTAGGCGTACGATAAGCGACATGATGACGCACCAATGAGGTTGCGACCGTGATACTCCGATTGGTCGATCAGACGACAGCTGTTTGATTCGCCTCAGTCATCCAATCCGGAATCGATTCGGCTTTGGGCGTCACGAACGCACTTGTGGCGCGGCGCGGGTTGATGCGTGGCCGGACGGGTTCTGTACTCTTCGTACTAACACCTCCACTTTTGAAATGTACATTCGCATTTTGGGGTTGCGCCCTCCCCTTTTTGACTTCTGGAGTGCCCGCTTGAAGGTATCCACAAGTCTCTCCGCTTGGCCGTTCGATTGCGGATGAAAATGCGGGGAGCTTATGTGATGGATGCCGC